TTACAAAAGATTCCCCCTTTACCATACTTTTTTTTTTAAAGCACTTTTGGCAGCGTTACAGCCTTGAGTCTTCTTGGTTTTACGCTACAAGCTCGGCCCCCCTGTTTTGGGATTTCTCCCTTTCTTCTCTGCAGTCCTCTCAAGCTCTGTCAGGTTGGATGGGGGCGTCGTGCACACTTTTCAGGTCTTTTTCCCAAATGTTAGATCGGTTTAAGCCCGGGGCTCGGGCTGGCCACTAAACGACATTCAGGATTGCCCAAAGCCACTCCCATTGTTTGGGCGGGGTTTGTTTGGGTTTTTTGTCCTTTGGAAGGAAACCTTCCCCAGTCTGAGGTTCGGCCTCTGGAGCAGTTTTTTCCTCAAGGTCTCTGTATTTTGCCCCGTTCATTTCCCCCTCGATCCTGTCTATCCCCCACCCCTTCCGCGGAAAAACATCCCCACGCAAGGGTTGGTCCCAGGTTTCCTCCAGACTACGCTTGCATTCAGCCAAAGGTTAATTTTGGGTTTCATAACCGAGAATCTTGTTTCTCTGGTCTGAGGTCTTTAGGTCCCTTTTTGGGAAAAACCCAAAGCGGGCTTTCGTGCCTTTTACTGAGGATGCTTCCTCTGGCCCCCTCTACCTAAGCCCTTTGGTGGATTTTCTCAAAGGGTTTTGTCCTCGGGAAGGTTTTTTCCCCATCTCCACAGGGGAACTCGGAGCTCTGTCAGATGCCATCGGTTTTTGGGTCACCTCCCTGACCAAGGCCCTTGCCCCCTGATTGCTTCTTTCCCCTCGGCGGGGGTTTCCAAAAATTTTCCATTTAAAATGATGGAGGCCACTGTTTTCTTGGGACCTTAAAATGTGCGAAAATTTTTTTGGTCCCTTCGCCAGATCTGTGCCTCACAAAACCTGTCTACTCTAGGGACAATTTTCCCTTCGACCTCTGGCTTGGTTTTTCTCTGACTCATTCAATGTGGCCTTTTTTGACAGGTGTGTCCCTTTCCAAATATGCCCAATAAATGAATTTCCCCACAGGTTACCCCCAATAAAGTTGTAGAAACCTCTAAAAGGATGTTAAACTTTGCAAACTTTTTAAAAAACCTGTTTTCGCTTGTATTAGGGGTTGGTGTAATTGTGAGGATTGAATATTTCCGTGTGTGTGTGTGTGTTGTTGTGGGTGTGTGTTAAAAACCCCTTGTAAAACGCATTAAAACTGCATCAAATGCTTTATATGATCAAAAGGGCTTTTTTTTTTCCCAAAAATCTACATGATTTATCAAAACCCTGAGGGATGAATCATTTGAAAGCTTGTGTTTCTCTAGACCCTTCCCTTTGTAAAATGAAAAGTATTTTCGCAGCTGTTTTTCATAGTTTGGGATTTCCGGGCATTTTTTTTATGACCCTCACCAAATCCAAGAGGTTTGGGGCTCCAGCTGTGGGCCTTTCCCTGCCCCAAAATGAACCCTTTTCCCCCCCTTTAGGGCCTACTTTTGCCTGTTGGGTTTTTTAAAAAACCAGTTTTTCTAACTAGCGAAGCCACACCCAGTCCCCCGCCTTTTGAAATTTCCAGTTGGCGAACCTCAAAGAAGGATCCACACCCGGGACTCTTGGGGGGCCCCAATCGGCACCTTTTCCCTTTACGACCCGGGTCTTCCCCAACCGTCCTTTTCAATAGTGAACCTGGCATGGTCTGGGTAATAAAAATGGGGTAAACAGTAAGAAGGCCATTTTAAAAGGACTGTAAGTGATTTGTATTTTTTGGGAAAGAGTGATGTGATGTTTTAAGGGGTCCCACTGAGTATTCCCAAGCTTTCTTCTGTTTCCGTCTGTTGGGTTGTACTACGATGAGGTCCTTTTACCCCCTGAAAAATCCTGAACCCGCCCTTTTAAAGGAGGGTCAAACACTGGACAGTGAGTTTCCTCTTTTCAAATGATGGCATAAATGAGAATTTTAATTACTGACGCCTTAGCGACTGGTTATCTTCCTGGGTCCCAAAAAAAAATTTCACAAGGGACATTAAAAACATTTAACAAAGGAACAATTTTTTTAAAAACCAAAAAATAAATAAAAAAATAATGGTAGAGACCCTCTCCTCCCGTGTTCCAACATCAGTCCGCCCTCGGGGATTCAGACTTAAGGTTCCTCCGTCATCTACCTGGCGCCCCAAAACCGAGACCACCGGCCCTAGTTGAGGCCCGCCCCCCCCGGGGCCGCCCCCCCAGAGAACCATGCCCCCGAACCCGCACCAACACCAAGGGACCCCCCCCCTACCCACCAAGGGGACCCCCCTTAAACCCCCCCCCATCCCCCACATCCCAAAGGGACCCCCCATACCACACCTCCAAGGTACCCCCCCCCCGACCAACCCCCAAAGGACCCCCCCATACCCCACCCTCCACGGTACCCCCCGCACCCCTATCCAAGGGCCCCCCCCATACCTACACCACAAGGTACCCCCCCTACCTCACCCTCCAAGGGACCCCCCCCCCCCCCCATACCCTTCACTTTTCCAAAGGGACCCCCCCATAAAACCCCCCCCATACCCACACCATCCAAGGTACCCCCCCCCCCTCCCCCACCATCCAAAGGTACCCCCCCCCCCTACCCTACACCCTCCAAAGGGACCCCCCCCCCAACCCTTTACTATCCAAGGGACCCCTCCTATAACCCCCCCATACCTTCACATCCAAGGTAACCCCCCCCCCAAACCCCCCCCCTACAACCTCCAAGTACCCCCCCCTACCTTCACTATCCCCGGGACCCCCCTATAACCCCCCCCCCAAACCACACCATCCAAGGTACCCCCCCCATTACACCCCCAAGGGTAACCCCCCCCCAAACCACACCATCCAAGGGACCCCCCCAACCACCCATCCAAGGGGCCCCCCCCCCTACCTAACCCCAAGGGCCCCCCATACCTACACCCCCGGTACCCCCCATACCAAACCCATCCAGGGACCCCCCCCCTACCACACCATCCAAGGCCCCCCCCCCCAACCTAAACCACCAAGGTCCCCCCCCCCCCCCCACAAACCCCCCCCAACCCCCCATCCTAACCTCCGTTTCCCCCCCCAACCTAAACCATCCAAATACCCCCCCATAATACCACACCATCCAAGGGCCCCCCCCCTCCTACAAACCCTCCAAGGTCCCCCCCATACCACACCACCAAGGACCCCCCCCCCAAACCCACACCACCAATAAAACCCCCCCCCCCCCAAACCACACCACCAATAACCCCCCCAAAACCCCCCCAAACCCACACCAAGGCCCCCCCCCCCGCCACCCCTCCAAATTTTCCCCCCCCCCCCAACCACCCCCACCAAGACCCCCCCCAACCTACACCACCAAGACCCCCCCCCCCCCCACCCACCATCCAAACCCCTCCAAACCCCCCCAACCCCCCCCCCAACCCCCCCCCCAAACCGACACCACCCTAACCCCCCAATAACCCCTCCATAAAAACCCCCCCTACCCCCACCACCAAGGTAAACCCCCCCCCCCCAACCACACCCTCCAAAAATCCCCCCCAAACCCCCCCCCCACCACACCACCAAGGTAAAACCCCCCCCTCCTACACCCTCCAAGGGACCCCTCCTTAACCCCCCCCCCATCCCACCATCCGGACCCCCCCCCAACCCACCCATCCAAGGTACCCCCCCCTACCTACAAAACCCCCAGGTCCCCCCCCCCCAACCTACACCACCAAGGTACCCCCCATAAACCCACCATCCAAGTAAAACCCCCCCCTACCCAACAACCCGGGCCCCCCCCCAACCCACCCATCCAAAGGGCCCCCCCCCCTACCCACACCATCCAAGGACCCCCCCCCCTCACCCTCCAAGTACCCCCCCCCCAACCCACAACCACCCAAGGGCCCCCCCAACCCACCACCAAGGTACCCCCCCCAAACCACACCACCAAAGGCCCCCCCCACCACACCATCCATAAAAACCCCCCTATAACCCCCCCCCCAAATACACCATCCCCCCAAAAACCCCCCCCTACCTAACCCCCAAGGGACCCCCCCCTACCTACACCATCCCGACCCCCCCCCAACCTACCCATCCAAGGTACCCCCCCCAAACCCACACCATCCAAGTACCCCCCCCCTACCTACACCATCCAGGGACCCCCCCCCTACCCACCATCCCCGGTCCCCCCCCAACCCCACCACCAAGGACCCCCCCAACCTACACCATCCAATACCCCCCCCCCCATACCCACACCATCCAAGGTACCCCCCCATACCTCCACCATCCTCCCCCCCCTACCTCACCATCAAAACCCCCCCCCCATACCTCCAAACCCCAATACCCCTCCTATAACCCCCCCAACCACCTATCCCAAGGGACCCCCCCCCCCCCCCTCCTAAAACCAAAACCCCCAAACCCCCCCCCTACCCACACCATCCAAGGTACCCCCCCCATACCTCACCATCCAAGGTACCCCCCCCATACCTACAAAACCATCCAAGGTACCCCCCCCCCCATACCTCACCATCCAAGGTACCACCCCACATACTACACCATCCAAGTACCCCCCCCCCATAGCCACAACATCCAAGGTCCCCCCCCCATACCTGCATCCATCCAGGTACCCACCCCCATACCTACACCATCCAAGGTACCCCCCCCATACCTCCACCATCCAATATCCCTCCTATAACCCCCCCATACCTCCAACCATCCAAGGTACCGACCACCCCCCCCATACCTACCCATCCAAGTCCCCCCCCATACCTACACCATCCAAGGTACCCCTCCAATAACCCCCTCCCCCCCCCGCCCGTACCTACACCTGTTACCTACCTTCCTAAACCTACTCCCCCTTACCCATGCAGTCAACATTCACGCCAGGGTCGTGTTCATTAGGGCATGCAACGTTATGCAACAGAAAAAGTACAATTAGCTTTTCTTATTGGACACCTTTCCTGTTTCAGTCCTTTGTCGCCTAATGAACACAACCCAGACTCTGGTTCATATTAATCTGTAACATTTTCAACTTGTTTCCACAGGTCTGCAGCCCGGTACAACTTACAAGATCAACATCTACACTCTGAATGGCAGTGGTCGCAGTACCCCCTTCACCCTCACTGCCACCACTGGTACAGTAGCCCCCCCTATAAAGCCACGCGATTGATTTAGATCAGGGGTTTCAAACTCATTTTAGCTCAGGGGCCACATGGAGGAAAATCTATTCCCAAGTGGGCCGGACCGGAAAAATCATGGTATATATAACTTAAAAACAACAACTTCAGATTGTTTTCTTTGTTTTAATACGATCAACATACAACATAAAGCTGGAGCCTGAGGACAGTGTGTCCAAAATAGTACAAGCACAACATCACTATTAATCATAAAACACGTCAAGTTTATTTGAAAATTCTAAAGAAAAAGAACACACAAACACACAATGCCTCAGTGATTAACAGAACTGTTTCACAGATCACAGAACTATATCAGGGTGTCATTTTCTCAGGCAGAAAATGTAGATAAAAATAATGAAATCCTGTTCCCCAAACAAGTGCAAGAACCACAGAGTCAAGAATAGGTTAAATATACAAATAAAATAAAATCAATTAAAAACAATAGCACATTAACATAAAAACATATAAACATAAATCTGAAAGCGTTGCTCAAACTCCCGTAACAGTCCCGTTATTTTATCTTTGAACCGCTTCATGTCTGCCACATGTTGGGTCGCGCACACATTTTTCAGACAGGGGAAGTGAGCTGCATCACCCACCGGCAAGTTGCGTCTCCCACAATGACAGCTTCAAACTTGAAAGAACGTATGCTGTCATAATACTGCGTGACAACTTTGTTGCGCCCTTGCAGCTGTTTGTTCAAGTTATTCAGGTGCTCTGTAACATCCACCATAAATGCAAGGTCCTGCATCCATTCTGCGGAATGAAATTCTAAAACTGGTTTGCCCTTTTCTTCCATGAACTATTCAATTTCTTCTCGTAAATCAAAGAAACGCCTCAGCACAGCACCTCGGCTTAACCATCTTACCTCAATGTGGTATGGCAGGCCATAGATGTGGTCTTTCTCTCTGAGAAGGCTGTCAAACTGACGGTGATTCAGGCTTCTGGATCGGATGAAATTAACAGTTTGGATGACCACCTTCATGACGTTATCCATCTTTAATAACTTGCAAACACAAAGCCTCCTGGTGCAAAATACAGTGAAAAGTCAAAAATCACGTCCTCCATTTGCAGATTGCACTTTCTCTCTGAACTTAGTCACAACGCCTGCTTTTTTCCTCCCGATCATTGAGGGCGCACCATCTGTAGCCAGGCTGACAGCGCGGGACCAGTCCACTCCGACCCTGTCCAGCGCGCCGACGAGTGCGGTAAAAATATCAGCTGCTGTCGTTGTATCTGTCATCGGCACCAACTCCACGAACTCCTCGGTGACGGTCAATGTGTCATCAACTCCGCGGATGAAAATGGCCAGTTTGTGCAACATCTGTAATGTCCGTGCTTTCATCAATTGCAACCGAAAACGCAATAAATGACTTTACTTTTTGCTTCAACTGGCTGTCCAAATCCACTGAAAGATCGGAAATCCTGTCTGCAAACTGTGTTTTCTTGTCAGGCTGATATTTGCAAAAGCCTTCCGCTTTTCAGGGCACCACAATCTCCGCTGCCTTCATCATGCATGTTTTTACAAATTCACCCTCACTAAATGGTTTTTGAAGCCACTGTGATTTCATTAGCAATGAGGTAGCTAGCTTTCACTGCAGCGTCACTGATGTCTCGGCTGTGAGTAAACACAGACTGCTGTTTCTTCAGACCCGCCAACAGTTCATTCACCTTCTCTCATCTCCGCTGTCCTTGAAAGTTGTCATATTTGTCGGCATGAAGACTCACATAGTGGCGACGAAGGTTATATTCTTTCAGCACTGCAACATGCTCTGAACACACCAAACATACAGCTTTCCCATTCAATTCAGTGAATAAATAGGATGACCATTTTTCTTGGAACACTCTGCACTCTGCGTCCACTTTTCTCTTTTTTGACAGAGACATATTGGGGCAATGAGGGTGCCAAAGCACATAATGTTAAAAGTAGAAGCCGTAATAAATATTGCGGGCAAAACAAAGTAGCTCATTGGCTGCACGTGCTTGACCTACTTGCTCTGCCCCGGTATAAACAGTTTGCTTGCTTAACACAATTGCTATTGCGCCATCCAGTGGACGCAATTGGAACAGCCGTTTATTTATAGAAAAATTGCAGCGCATTTTTATACTTTACAATTTGTTTTTTTTTTTTTTTTTTTTTCTTTTTTTAACCCGGGGCCGTTTCCCTTTTTGCGGGCCGATCCGGCCCCCGGGCCGGCTTTTCCCACCCCTTAATACTTGCAAAACTTGAAAAACAAGTCTCAAGCTAGATAGGGGGTTCTCTAACCGGGCTTTTTTCCCCGGCCCTTTTTCCCCCTTCTGCCTTTCGGCCCATTGATCTGCCCTTCCCTCCACCCCCACCTCTCTCTCCTTCTCCCTTCCCCTTTTCAGCCCCAATGTCCTCCCTTCTCTTGGCTCCTCTCTTCTCCCGTCTGCCTCTCTCCTGCCCCTCTCTCCCTTCCTCTTCCTTCTTTCCCCTCCTCCTTGCCGCTTCTCGCTTTCCCCCTCCTCTCTCTTCTCCTGTTTTCTCCTTTTTCCCTTGCTTTCCCCCCCTCCTCTCTCAAACCCTCGCCTCTCTCCTTCCTGTCCCCCCGCCCGGCGTCTACCCTCTACATACGTCCCTTCCACATCCCCCGCTCTCCCTGCTCTTCCTGATCTCTCGCGTCTTGCCCCAGTCCCCCTCTCTCTCCCCACCCCCACACCCCCCTCCCATGGGCCCTCACTCGAACACAAAACCCGCCCCACACCGCCTCGCCAACACACTCTGCCCGTAGAGCCACGCCTGCCCTGCGGAAACCCCCCCCACGTCTCTCCTCCCTCACCCTCCCCCCTCCCGTCAGTCAAAAAGCATCCCTCCGAATCCCCCTTCTGCTCTCCCCTCTCTCATGAATCCCCCTCCTCATCTACCGCAGTCTCCGATCCCCCTCTCTGCCAATCTCCAAAGCCGATCTCCCCATCCCTCTCCCTCCCACTCCCTATCCCTCCTCTCCCCCTCCTCTCAGTCTCTCCTCTCCTTCCCTCCCTCTCTCCTCCTCTCACGCTGCCTATCCCGGTTCCTCATCTCCTTCCCATCTCTCGCTCCCATCATCCGCTCTCCGCTCTCTCCCTCCCCCATTCCGCTCTCCCCTCTCTCCCCCCTCCTCCTCTCCCCGTCTCCCCTCCCCCCCCCTCTCCCATTTCCATTGTGTCCAATGGAAGTAAAAAATGCTTTTGGGTCGATTTACTTCAAATGTCATATGCCGTGTCCCATGGTCACAAATATGTAACAATTGGGAAGTTTAAACCATTTTAACCCTTCAAAACCGCCCTTATGACCCCCAATTAAGTCACTCCTGTAATCAGACACAGACAGACAGACAGGCAGGCAGACAGATCTGTAGTTCTTTCGACTCTGGTGGTGTTCAACTCTGTCCTGACAGACTCTGGTGGTGTTCAACTCTGTCCTGACATACCTTTTTTTCAACAGGCTCAGAATGATTGTGAGGCCATGAAAAATGTCAGGGTAATCTCAGCCTACAGGACAAAAAAGAACCTGAAGGACATTCTAGTCCATTCAAGCCTGACTAAGATGAAACTGGTACAGAATACTTTACCCAAACATAATTTCTGTCCAATAGGCATTTGGCCTTGGGGGACCCAATTGGGCATAAAGTGAAATTGGATACTGGAAATGTGGTATCTGCGATGATGTGCCTTGTTTGTCATAAACTCTATATTGGAGAAACAAAACATGATCTACAATGCAGACTTAAACAACATCTATACCATATTAAGAGTGGTGATAGACCCACTGTTTTGTATGCCCACCTCAGGGCTCATACGGCGGAGAACCTTGGAATTGTTGGCCTGTGGAGCAATATGGGGTGGCTGAAAACTCAAAGACAGAGGATCAGAACACTAGCAACCATTGATTCAACTGTTACCCTACGATGTCTGGAGCCTGTGTTCCACTATGCTTTATTACAAATAAAGGTCTTACAGAGTTTTTGTTGCATCAAGATATGACTTTATTAGGGTTTCAACAAAGCCGATGCCAGTCTGCAGAATGGCACCCCCTCTTACTCTCTCCCTCCATCTTTATATAGTCCCCTCTTCAGTTTCCCGCTCTTTGATTGCTCCGCCCACTTCCTTTGTCTCTGAGGGCGGCTAAACTCGACTTTTATTATGCACATAGTACTCCAACCAATCACTCACTCCCCTGTCTTGCGCACACACACACACTCATGTTTCGTTTAACCATGACAAGGCCCTAAATCCTTGAAACATGCACAAACCCCCCCCACACACACACAGTGAAATGACCCAATTCAATTCCTGGCCCAGTAATGAAGAAATCTAACTCTATGCTCTTGATTTAACCCAGTTCTACCTCATAGTCCATTAAACTCTACAGTTCATTAATAATAATTCACCACACCTGCTGATTTACTATACCAGGGGTGTAGTTACCCTATGAGGTCTTCTGCTTTTATCTATTTATCTATTTTAGACAGTTGAAGTCTCCACTGGGATGAATTGATAGATCTGGTGGCGATTTTAGACAGTTGAAGTCTCCACTGGGATGAATTGATAGATCTGGTGGCGATTTTAGACAGTTGAAGTAAACTGGGATGAATTGATAGATCTGGTGGTGATTTTAGACAGTTGAAGTCTCCACTGGGATGAATTGATAGATCTGGTGGTGATTTTAGACAGTTGAAGTCTCCACTGGGATGAATTGATAGATCTGGTGGCTAATTTAGACAGTTGAAGTCTCCACTGGGATGAATTGATAGATCTGGTGGCTATTTTAGACAGTTGAAGTCACCACTGGGATGAATTGATAGATCTGGTGGTGATATTTGACAGTTGAAGTCTCCACTGGGATGAATTGATAGATCTGGTGGCTATTTTAGACAGTTGAAGTCTCCACTGGGATGAATTGATAGATCTGGTGGTGATTTTAGACAGTTGAAGTCTCCACTGGGATGAATTGATAGATCTGGTGGCTATTTTAGACAGTTTTAGTCTCCACTGGGATGAATTGATAGATCTGGTGGTGATTTTAGACAGTTGAAGTCTCCACTGGGATGAATTGATAGATCTGGTGGCTAATTTAGACAGTTTAGTCTCCACTGGGATGAATTGATAGATCTGGTGGCGATATTTGACAGTTGAAGTCTCCACTGGGATGAATTGATAGATCTGGTGGTGATATTTGACAGTTGAAGTCTCCACTGGGATGAATTGATAGATCTGGTGGTATTTTGTAGACAGTTTGAAGTCTCCACTGGGATGAATTGATAGATCTGGTGGTGATATTTAGACAGTTGAAGTCTCACTGGGATGAATTGATAGATCTGGTGGTGATTTTTAGACAGTTGAAGTCTCCACTGGGATGAATTGATAGATCTGGTGGTGATTTAGACAGTATGAAGTCTCCACTGGGATGAATTGATAGATCTGGTGGCGATTTTAGACAGTTGAAGTCTCCATGGGATGAATTGATAGATCTGGTGGCTATGTTAGACAGTTGAAGTCTCCACTGGGATGAATTGATAGATCTGGTGGCTATGTTAGACAGTTGAAGTCTCCACTGAGATGAATTGATAGATCTGGTGGCTATTTTAGACAGTTGAAGTCTCCACTGGGATGAATTGATAGATCTGGTGGCTATGTTAGACAGTTGAAGTCTCCACTGGGATGAATTGATAGATCTGGTGGCTATGTTAGACAGTTGAAGTCTCCACTGAGATGAATTGATAGATCTGGGGCTATTTTTAGACAGTTGAATCTCCACTGGGATGAATTGATAGATCTGGTGGTGATTTTAGACAGTTGAAGTCTCCACTGAGATGAATTGATAGATCTGGTGGCTATGTTAGACAGTTGAAGTCTCCACTGGGATGAATTGATAGAGGTAAAACACATCTATTCTTATCGTTTATTGGTTGGATCATTGTATATTTTTTATTTATTTACATTTGACTACTTTTGTGTGTGTTGGTAGCTGCGCTCTAGCAAACAGCTGGCTGATACAGTGCTGGTATAGCCTACATTATAAGATTATTATTTTTCAAACGGCAGCAAAGCAACAATTATCATGTCACCGGAATAAAACCCTCAATATTTATTGGAAAGGAGCATCAAGCTCACCACCTTGCACTTTCACCACCCTGTGAAGTTTATCATAACTTTTTTTATCTGTAGCCTAGTAAACTGCATGCTTTCCTGACGAGTCGTAGTGCGAGGACCACACAACATGTTTACTTCGATATGGTTATTATATCAATATTTGCGCATTTCTCACATAATTAATTTTACAGACACAAAACGATCCCACCTTGTCTAGCGTTTTGTTTTGTTTACATCAGGCCTGTCGTGAAATGTTTTGTCCGTCATGTACTTTACTGGTGGGATGGAAACCTGGTTATTGACTGCAATGCATTGAGATAAACATCAACCCTGTAAAACTCATCTTTTCCCTTTGACTGCAATGTATTGAGAAAAATGTCAACCCTGTGATGCTCATGATTTCCCATTGACTGCAATGTATTGAGAAAAACGGCAGCTACTGTGATATTTTACTTTTTTAGCAAAAAAACGTGCCAGGATGACCTTTTTCAGGCTGATAATGGGCTCGGTTCAGGTTCTTAGAACCGATTATCGATCTCTCTTTCTGTCCGTCTGTTTTGTATTCTGCAGCTAAGCCGGTTGTGTCTCCCCCCACCAACATCCGTTTCACCTCCCTGACCCCCAGCAGTATCTCCTTCACCTGGGAGGGGTCCCGTAGTGCCGGGGTCACGGGGTATTACGTCACCTACGAGGAGGCAGGGGGCATCCCCAGGGAACTCACCCCACGGCCCACCGGTTACCAGAGCCAAGCAGTCATCACTGGTAGGGCTCTCCTCCTCCTCACACTGCTGTGCTGAACCAAGCCGAGTCGAACCAAGCTGTACTGAGCTGGCCTGGTTAGCCACTAAAGTGGATGAGTATCAGTGTGCTGAAAAGCAAATGCCTGAGCCAGAACCAGTTAGTTCGACAATGGTGTGAAAAGAGTACGGTCTTCTAATTCAGAAAGTCCTTGTAGCCTGTTTCTTTTATTGAGTCGCTCACATTCTGTTTTGTTTTGTTTGAAGGTCTGATGCCAGGAACTGATTACATCATCAAGATCGTCACCCTGCAGAATGCTCTGAGGAGCACCCCTCTAGTGGGCAAGGCTAGAACTCGTAAGTACAGCAATCAACCTTCCCATTTCTATTTAGCCATTATTTAACAAGGTAAAGAGCCTTGGTGTTAGATACCTGCTCCGCTCCTCTCTGTCTCTAACACTGTGCTTGCTCTGCTCCTAACCCTCTCTCTGCTAGAACTAGTGTCACAGCTCCACGTGCCCCAGCTCCCCGCTTCCCACCGGCCCAGCCCCGACATCCTGGACGTGCCCGAGGACGAGGTTAACCCCACCTTCCCCACCGACGTCAACTTCAACCCCGGCAACCCCAACTTCAACACCAACCCTAATGGGAACACCAACTTCAACCAGTTCAACCCCAACCCCAACTTCAACACCAACCCTAATGGGAACACAAACTTCAACCAGTTCAACCCCAATGGCAACCCCAACCCCAACTTCCCCCTCAATCCCAACGGGAACCCCAACCAGTTCAACCCCAACACCAGCCCCAATGGGAACCCCAACCCCAACTTAAACCCCAACCTCCCTCGCAACCCCAACGGGAACACCAACCAGTTCAACCCCAATGGGAACTCCAACTTAAACCCCAACGGGAACCCTAACTACCCCCTCAACCCCAACGGCAACCCCAACCAGTTCAACCCCAACTTAAACCCCAACACCAAGCCTAACTTCCCCCTCAACCCCAACGTGAACCCCAACACCAAGCCACAACCCACCCAGAACCCCAACGGCAACCCCAACCAGTTCAACCCCCAACGTGCCCCAAACCAAACAAACCAACCCAACCACCCCTCAACCCCCAACACCAACCCCAACCCCAACATCCCCCAACCCAACACCAACCCAACTTCCCTCAACCCCAACGTGAACCCCAACACCAACCCCAACTACCCCCTCAACCCCAACGGCAACCCCAACCAGTTCAACCCCAACGTGAACCCCAACACCAACCCCAACTACCCCCTCAACCCCAACGTGAACCCCAACACCAAGCCCAATTCCCCTCAACCCCAACGTGAACCCCAACACCAACCCTAACTTCCCCCAACACCAACCCTAACTACCCCCTCAACCCCAACGGCAACCCCAACTACCCCCTCAACCCCAACGGCAACCCCAACCAGTTCAACCCCAACGTGAACCCCAACACCCAACCCCAACTACCCCCTCAACCCCAACGTGAACCCCAACACCAATCCCAACTTCCCCCTCAACCCCAACGTGAACCCCCAAACACCAACCCCAACTACCCCCTCAACCCCAACGGCAACCCCAACCAGTTCAACCCCAACGTGAACCCCAACACCAACCCCAAACTACCCCCCTCAACCCCAACGTGAACCCCAACACCAAGCCCACTTCCCCCTCAACCCCAAACGTGAACCCCAACACCAACCCTAACTTTCCCCCCAACACCAACCCCCAACCACCCCCTCAACCCCAACACCAACCCCAACCCCAACTATCCCCTCAACCCTACACCCAATCCCAACTTCCCCCTCAACCCCAACGTGAAACCCCAACACCCACCCCAACTACCCCCTCAACCCCAACGGCAACCCCAACCAGTTCAACCCCAACGTGAACCCCAACACCAACCCTAACTACCCCCTCAACCCCAACCCTAACTTTCCCCCAACCCCAACGGCAACCCCAACCACCCCCTCAATCCCAACTATCCCCTTAACCCCAACGTGAACTCCAACACCAATCCCAATGGGAACCCCAACCACCCCCTCAACCCCAACACCAACCCCAACCACCCCCTCAACCCCAACTATCCCCTCAACCCTAACACCAATCCCAACTATCCCCTTAACCCCAACGTGAACTCCAACACCAATCCCAATGGGAACCCCAACCACCCCCTCAACCCCAATGGGAACCCCAACTTCAATGGCAAACCCAACGTCAATAGCAATGCCGACCAGTTCAACCCCAACTCCCCCCTCAACCCCAACTTCAACAACAACCACGTCCAGCTGGTGGGGACTAATGGCCAGGACACTCTGGGCCAGCAGGGCCAGCACATCTACACAGAGTACCAGGGCCTGGGCCCCAAACCCATCGGCAGGGACAACCAGGGCCCAGCTATCCACCACGAGCACCTGGTCTACATCCCTGTCCCGGGTCCCGATGGCCAGAGAGTGCCCCTGGTCCGGGTGAGCGCGGGTCTGTTACCGGGTCTTCCGTTTGGGTTCCCTGAGAATGATACCGGGTTTGGGGTACCGCAGGAGGCCCAGACACACACCACCATCTCATGGCAGGGTGTTCCCCAGAGCTCAGAGTACCTGGTGTCCTGCGACCCCATCACCAACCTCGACGAGAAGATGTTCCAGGTGAGAATACTACACTTACCCTGGTCTCAGATCAGTTTGTGCCGTCTTGCTGTCATACTTCAGGAGTTTTCTATACAGCACAAACAGATCTAGGACCAGGGTAATATACACCCACACACAAATCCCATGCTTAAACATGGCGTCTATATAGGCCTAGTTAGCTGAATGATCTTCACACAGTGCAGGAGTTTCTAGTGCCCTACTGATCTCCAGGTCCATTGATTCCTCCATCAGATGCGGTTGCCTGGCACCTCCACCGGTGCCACCCTGATCGGCCTGACATCTGGGGCCTCCTATAACGTCATCGTGGAGGCCATGAGAGGGCAGGGCAGGGAGAAGGTCCTGGAGGAGATTGTCACAGCTGGCAATGCTGGTAGGTTACATAATCACATAGACATTAGTCTCTCGTGACAGACGGTGAGATTTTGTTTCTGGCATGGAGATAACATGGACATGCCACTCACTCGGCACCCTATCGTGTTTAATGGCAATGAAATAGCAAGGGACTATTAGACTTTTTCAAAATGGACAACGGTTGTTATTTATGTGTATAGCTCTCTCCCCTCCCCTATGTATTGTCTTGAAGCCGTTGATCAATTGTGCATTTGTTTTTTGTTGATCAGTTATTTATTTGCTTTTCATTTATCTGTTGTTCTGTTTGTCCCTTCTCTCTCCCCCTAGTTCCAGGAGACAACCTCCCCTCCAACAGAGATGTGTGTTATGACACGTTCACAGCCACCTACCATGATGTGGGTGCAGAGTGGGAGCGTATGTCAGAGACAGGCTTTAAGCTGTGGTGCAGGTGTCTGGGGCTGGGCAGTGGCCATTTCAGATGTGATTCATCCAGTGAGTGACTCTAACCCATCCCATAATGCTTCTAATTTAAACCCCCTTATGTTTTACCCTAGCATGGGCAGGCACAGTTGACCAAGACCAAAAATGCCAAAATTAGAGATTCAGTGGTAAGGGAGTGAACATTATTTGTAATAAAGGTTATATGGAGAAAATAGGACCTCTCTGAAATGAAAATGGATGCGCCTCACTTCTGCAAAATATATTTGACCTAAACCCTCCCTGAACGCTTGAAAAAGAACAAGTGACCCTCCGCTACACCAAGAATAATAATTAAATCACAAAGTGGATAGCAGAGAACAGCCTTACAGTTTACCCTCACGCCTAGGACAGACCAGAGCCTTTAGATATGCCGTTTTAAAAACTGTTCTTCATCCTGTCAGCATTACATGACAACGCAGGAATTTTGATAGACAGGGCTGAGGCCAGAAGGTTGTGGGTTCACAGACCACGGTTGACAACTCCGCTGTGTCCTCCTCCCAGAGTGCGAAGAGCCTAGGCGTGACCCTGGACAACACCCTGTCGTTCTCCGCCAACATCAAGGCGGTGACCCGCTCCTGCAGGTTCATGCTCTACAACATCCGGAGAGTACGACCCTGCCTTACACAGGAAGCGGCACAGGTCCTAATCCAGGCACTTGTCATCTCCCGTCTGGACTACTGCAACTCGCTGTTGGCTGGCCTCCCTGCCTGTGCCATTAAACCCCTACAACTCATCCAGAATGCCGCAGCCCGTCTGGTGTTCAACCTTCCCAAGTTCTCTCACGTCACCCCCCTCCTCCGCACACTCCACTGGCTTCCAGTTGAAGCTCGCATCCGCTACAAGACCATGGTGCTTGCCTATGGAGCAGTGAGGGGAACGGCACCTCTGTACCTTCGGGCTCTGATCAGTCCCTACACCCAAACGATGGCATTGCGTTCATCCACCTCTGGCCTGCTGGCTCCCCTTCCTCTGCGGAAGCATAGTTCCCGCTCAGCCCAGTCAAAACTGTTCGCTGCTCTGGCACCCCAATGGTGGAACAAGCTCCCTCACGACGCCAGGACAGCGGAGTCACTCACCACCTTCCGGAGACATTTGAAACCCCACCTCTTTAAGGAATACCTGGGATGGGATAAAGTAATCCTTCTACCCCCCCCCCCCCCCCCCCCCCCAAAATTGTAAAGTGGTTATCCCACTGGCTATAGGGTGAACGCACCAATTGGTGAGTCGCTCTGGATAAGAGCGTCTGCTAAATGACGTAAATGTGCCCTTGAGCAAGGCACTTAACCCTAATTGCTCCTGTAAGTCGCTCTGGATAAGAGCGTCTGCTAAATGACTAAAATGTAAATGTAAATGTAAAATGTGGGTGGAAAGATCTCCTTTATAGTAAAAGCACTGCATGAATCTATCATCGTATTTGCAAGTCTGAGGAAAGAATTGCCTTTTAGTTTCAAGTTTTAATGTCACATGCACAACTACAGTAAAATGCCTTTCTAGCAAACTCAAAACCCAACAATGCAGTAATCAATAACAATGTAATACTCACTTTTATAAACATTTCAGGCAATTCTACGTCATTTTACATATTAGCAGAATCTTTTTTATTACCACACAAATTACCTAAATGACAGGCTAAGAATGGACAGAGAGATAGTCCTATGTGTTTATCTGACAGGTTAAGAATGGACAGAGAGATAGTCCTGTGTGTTTATCTGACAGGTTAAGAATGGACAGAGAGATAGGCCTGTGTGTTTATCTGACAAAGCTAAGAATGGACAGAGAGATAGGCCTGTGTGTTTATCTGACAAAGCTAAGAATGGACAGAGAGATAGGACCTATGTGTTTATCTGACAAAGCTAAGAATGGACAGAGAGATAGGCCTGTGTGTTTATCTGACAGGTTAAGAATGGACAGAGAGATAGTCCTGTGTGTTTATCTGACAGGTTAAGAATGGACAGAGAGATAGTCCTGTGTGTTTATCTGACAAAGCTAAGAATGGACAGAGAGATAGGCCTATGTGTTTATCTGACAGGTTAAGAATGGACAGAGAGATAGGCCTGTGTGTTTATCTGACAAAGCTAAGAATGGACAGAGAGATAGGACCTATGTGTTTATCTGACAGGTTAAGAATGGACAGAGAGATAGTCCTGTGTGTTTATCTGACAAAGCTAAGAATGGACAGAGAGATAGGCCTATGTGTTTATCTGACAAAGCTAAGAATGGACAGAGAGATAGTCCTATGTGTTTATCTGACAGGTTAAGAATGGACAGAGAGATAGTCCTGTGTGTTTATCTGACAGGTTAAGAATGGACAGAGAGATAGTCCTATGTGTTTATCTGACAAAGCTAAGAATGGACAGAGAGATAGGCCTGTGTGTTTATCTGACAAAGCTAAGAATGGACAGAGAGATAGGCCTGTGTGTTTATCTGACAAAGCTAAGAATGGACAGAGAGATAGGACCTATGTGTTTATCTGACAGGTTAAGAATGGACAGAGAGATAGGCCTATGTGTTAATCTGACAGGTTAAGAATGGACAGAGAGATAGTCCTATGTGTTTATCTGACAAAGCTAAGAATGGACAGAGAGATAGTCCTATGTGTTTATCTGACAGGTTAAGAATGGACAGAGAGATAGGCCTATGTGTTAATCTGACAGGTTAAGAATGGACAGAGAGATAGTCCTATGTGTTTATCTGACAAAGCTAAGAATGGACAGAGAGATAGGCCTGTGTGTTTATCTGACAGGTTAAGAATGGACAGAGAGATAGGCCTATGTGTTTATCTGACAAAGCTAAGAATGGACAGAGAGATAGTCCTATGTGTTTATCTGACAAAGCTAAGAATGGACAGAGAGATAGGCCTGTGTGTTTATCTGACAGGTTAAGAATGGACAGAGAGATAGTCCTATGTGTTTATCTGACAGGTTAAGAATGGACAGAGAGATAGTCCTATGTGTTTATCTGACAAAGCTAAGAATGGACAGAGAGAGTTTTAAAGGCAGTCCTATGTGTTTATCTGACAGGTTAAGAATGGACAGAGAGATAGTCCTATGTGTTTATCTGACAGGTTAAGAATGGACAGAGAGATAGTCCTATGTGTTTATCTGACAGGCTAAGAATGGACAGAGAGATAGCCCTATGTGTTTATCTGACAAAGCTAAGAATGGACAGAGAGATAGCCCTATGTGTTTATCTGACAAAGCTAAGAATGGACAGAGAGATAGTCCTATGTGTTTATCTGACAAAGCTAAGAATGGACAGAGAGATAGTCCTATGTGTTTATCTGACAGGCTAAGAATGGACAGAGAGATAGTCCTATGTGTTTATCTGACAGGCTAAGAATGGACAGAGAGATAGGCCTGTGTGTTTATCTGACAGGTTAAGAATGGACAGAGAGATAGGCCTATGTGTTTATCTGACAAAGCTAAGAATGGACAGAGAGATAGTCCTATGTGTTTATCTGACAAAGCTAAGAATGGACAGAGAGATAGGCCTGTGTGTTTATCTGACAGGTTAAGAATGGACAGAGAGATAGTCCTATGTGTTTATCTGACAGGTTAAGAATGGACAGAGAGATAGTCCTATGTGTTTATCTGACAAAGCTAAGAATGGACAGAGAGATAGGCCTATGTGTTTATCTGACAAAGCTAAGAATGGACAGAGAGATAGTCCTATGTGTTTATCTGACAAAGCTAAGAATGGACAGAGAGATAGGCCTATGTGTTTATCTGACAAAGCTAAGAATGGACAGAGAGATAGGCCTGTGTGTTTATCTGACAGGCTAAGAATGGACAGAGAGATAGTCCTATGTGTTTATCTGACAAAGCTAAGAATGGACAGAGAGATAGCCCTATGTGTTTATCTGACAGGTTAAGAATGGACAGAGAGATAGTCCTATGTGTTTATCTGACAAAGCTAAGAATGGACAGAGAGATAGGCCTGTGTGTTTATCTGACAGGTTAAGAATGGACAGAGAGATAGTCCTATGTGTTTATCTGACAAAGCTAAGAATGGACAGAGAGATAGGCCTATGTGTTTATCTGACAAAGCTAAGAATGGACAGAGAGATAGTCCTATGTGTTTATCTGACAAAGCTAAGAATGGACAGAGAGATAGTCCTATGTGTTTATCTGACAGGTTAAGAATGGACAGAGAGATAGTCCTATGTGTTTATCTGACAAAGCTAAGAATGGACAGAGAGATAGTCCTATGTGTTTATCTGACAAAGCTAAGAATGGACAGAGAGATAGGCCTGTGTGTTTATCTGACAGGTTAAGAATGGACAGAGAGATAGGCCTGTGTGTTTATCTGACAGGTTAAGAATGGACAGAGAGATAGGCCTATGTGTTTATCTGACAAAGCTAAGAATGGACAGAGAGATAGTCCTATGTGTTTATCTGACAAAGCTAAGAATGGACAGAGAGATAGTCCTATGTGTTTATCTGACAAAGCTAAGAATGGACAGAGAGATAGGCCTATGTGTTTATCTGACAAAGCTAAGAATGGACAGAGAGATAGGCCTGTGTGTTTATCTGACAGGTTAAGAATGGACAGAGAGATAGTCCTATGTGTTTATCTGACAAAGCTAAGAATGGACAGAGAGATAGGCCTGTGTGTTTATCTGACAGGTTAAGAATGGACAGAGAGATAGGCCTATGTGTTTATCTGACAGGTTAAGAATGGACAGAGAGATAGTCCTATGTGTTTATCTGACAAAGCTAAGAATGGACAGAGAGATAGGCCTGTGTGTTTATCTGACAAAGCTAAGAATGGACAGAGAGATAGTCCTATGTGTTTATCTGACAAAGCTAAGAATGGACAGAGAGATAGGCCTGTGTGTTTATCTGACAAAGCTAAGAATGGACAGAGAGATAGGACCTATGTGTTTATCTGACAGGCTAAGAATGGACAGAGAGATAGGCCTATGTGTTCATCTTATCATATTTCTCCAATGCCAAATCAGTGTCTTGTTTGCAACGAAACTGTCCCTGTTTGCAAATAA